TATGGGTATGTTAAACGCCCATCTCCAAATGCCGTCTGCATTTCGGCTGACAAGTTTATCTTCGTCAGTAAACGTCCAAAAGAGTGACGAAAGCAAGGTTATATAAAGATGGATATGACTGCTGCAGGTCTGTCTGCAGTGGATGCATGAGACCAAGACCTTCGCTTCGGTCAAAGGAGCGTATCCGGAAGCAGTTGAACAAGAACCCTTGTAAGAAAAAGAATAGGGAGAAGTGCTGTCGTGTTCGCAATCCTTGAGTCAGAGCTTATCTTCGACGATACATAGGTACACAAGGAAGGCTTGACATGTTTCTTGCGACTTTCTGGTCTCATTTATACGCACTGTTGATAAACCGACATGTTTACCCACAATCCCGATTTGGGCTGCTGCACAGAACTGGTGCAGTCTTCACTCTTTAAATCTGCATGATTTTGTAAAGTCATCGTGATACCGGAACAAGCACACCATTGTGTCAAGCTTAATTACTGCTCAGCTCAGAAAACTACCTTACCTTAGTTTTTGGAAGTAACTCGGGTTTTTGTGCTCTATGCAACCCTAAAAACTGAAATTTCCATGTCCTATAAAAACGGTCAGGCCCAAAACTGTTCATTTCATGTAGCGCTTAACCACGAAACATTTAGGAATGTCCGGGGATCAGAGCGTATTTGCCGCAAAGGAAAAAGTGAAGAAGAATATTGTTGAGATAGATGATGCCCAGTATATCCTCGAGTCAAAGGTGAGGACGCTTGTACACACTCTACTATACTAGAGACATTAATGAAAATTGGATCGGGCTTGGGAGGAGGTTCGGGCTTGGGAGGAGCAACGAGAGGTGTTACACTCATCTGCCGATGAGGTAATGTTGGTTGAGAAGACACCTTACTAATAACTGGTTCTCCAAGCGCGTCAGCGAGAGCGACTGCCAGCGGAGTCCTCTTTGGGAGTACCGTCAGGCCGCTAGCCGGTCATCCTGAACTGGAGGCCTGTCCTACGGCCGGTATCGGCCTTTGCGCGAAGTACATCATGCGTACTATACAGGACGCATCCTTGCTTTTTTCAGCCTACTGTAAAAAAACCTTCGTGGCCATGAATGCTTTACGATTGCGGTCAAAAGCGTGAGGCCCACCTTTTGAACTCCATCACCCTATGCTCCCTCTCAAAATTCATCGTTGTGATGTGACCCCTTTTGGACGACACGAAAAACCCACCTCTCCGACGCAACACCACCTTCCAGCTTGTAAACTTACTTCTAGGTTACATATGCATGAGGGTGTCAGAAAATAGTTTGATTTGGCGCCGACTAGGCATTACCTCTGTGATGCGCCGTGCATAGGGCTCCTACGTAGAGGTGTAGGGATGCAACTTCTAAACAGGGCATCTTCCGTGCAAGCAAATGTGCTCCTGCTCTTGGACGGATTAGATGTCTATGTATTTCGCGACCAACCGGCGATCCCTCGGTGATCCTAAACTACTTCTTTCCAGTGTCTGGAGCGTTTTGGGACTGTTTAACAAAAGTTTTCGATTTGGCTCCACTCACCTCGGGGTACGCTCCGCACACAACGTATGCCTCGCACTTCCCAACCGATGATCTCTCTGCTGATCTTTAACTACTTTTCCCGCAGTCCGGAGTGTTCTGGAACCGTTTCAGGAATTTTTAATGGCTCCGCCCACCTCGCCGCACGCTCCGCTCCCAACGTATGCCTTGTGCTTCTCAACTGATGACTCCTCGGTGACCTAATCACTTCCCTGTGTCTGGAGTGTGATATAACCGTTCTGTGAATCTTTTAAAATTAGCTACGCCCACCTCGCCGAACGCTCCGCCCCTAACATATGCATCGCGCTTCCCTACCGATGACCTCTCGCTGATCTTACACTACCTTTTCCCCGGTGTGTGGAGTGTTCTGGGACCACTCTGGGAGTCTTTTGAATCAGCTCCGCATATTTCGTCAAACGCTCCGCCCATCAAATATGCATCGTGGCTGGTCTCAAACTACTTTTTCCCGGTGTCTTGAGCGTTCTGGGCCGTTTGGCGGAACTTTTCAATTTGGCTCCACCCACTCCGGAGTGCGCTCCGCCCACGACATATGCCCAAGGCACGCCATCGTTGTGATCATCACAACAGGGGTCGTATTTGAGCTCGAGCGAGAGGGGGGTCGTAAGCGCGGGGACCTTTCTGAAGTGAGGGTGCAGCGATACCCAGATGTCGTTCAGCTTCAATGATGAAAGACTTATCCATGTGAATGAACCCTGAAGAGACCCACACAAGACAGAAGCAACCTGCCAGCGCAGAAGTGGGGAACGGGCGATGACAGGATGGTCGCCCACAACGACGTCATGAATTAATAAAAAAGATAAAGGATAAAGTCTCCGCCGTTGATCAACCTCTTCGTGGGCACGCACTCTACTTCTATTTAGGATCATAGTGGCGTATTGAATGCGATGCGGCCTGTACGGTGACTTGCGGTGTACAAGTCGGTGTTTTACCCCACCAGACGAATCTGGTACCATTTCACTGTACACTAGAAGGCTTAGTTGGCGTGGGCGAGAGTCGACCCGGGATTTGAACCCGGCATCGCGCGAGTGGTAAGCGCGCCACTTGTCACTACACCACCTCCGCGCCAATAAATATCCGCTATGAATAAATAAACAGATAAAGCTATGCATGGCGCATTGCAGAGGTGATGCCAACTGGCGCCCAGTGAACTATTTCCTGATATCCTTGGCAAAAACATGCGTTTCTGAAGCATACCAAAGTCCTTAAGCCAAGCGGAGGTTTTATGGCGTTAGAGGGGTTGATTTTTCGGGTCGTGGGGTAGTGATCACGGGATGATCACAACGGGGAAATTTTTCGAATAGCAGGCCTAGGGATAAAATGAAAGTCTTGCTGGAAAGTAGAAAGCTCTTTCCGGCACAGTTCTTCTTTTTTCGAAAGGCCGTGTATGAAGCTTGCCATGGATGTCCAAAACGTAGCCACTTGTGGTTGATCCCCCCTCTATGATCACAAAAGGATCACAACGGAGAAAAATTCCTAAAAAGGGTCGCTCAAAATCAGTTTACAAGTGCCAACCTTGTTCCCCTCATACCTGCTTTCCCCTCTCCGAAAGCTTCACTCTCAAAGAAGTTATGGGTGTTCAAAGAGGGGTACTTTTCGAGTGTTTGGCTTGAAATTGGCTCCAGGTCGTAGAATAGCGCGCTCCAATGCGCTTGCATTAGCCATGCCCGCGGACAACTAATATTAAAATGTTATTTATAGTTTTGGCTTCTATGTCCCATGGTGAGTTTTTTTCTTATCTTCTTTTCTAATGATTTGTTAATTTTCTTTTCTAGTGTTTCTTATTAGTTTCTGGTTTGTATTCTGGTTTTAGCGCTGACGAACTATTTCTACCCCAGTCTGCCGGAATCAGGCTGCTTTTTGTCGACTTTTTTTTCTAGAAGGGCAGATTCAGCTTAATATTTGCTTATAGTGGTACTTCGACCTCCTGAACACTTCCGCTTCCCCGGAACTCGTCGTTTTGATAATTTGTGGTACTTTGGCGCGCCGAAATACCCTAACTCACCAAAATCGATTAAAACTTGTACACGGGGGTTATTTGATATCCTCTTTACGGTTATGATATTAATCTTGGCGCCAGCGCTGACGTAGGTCACACCTGCGCCTCGCTAAGACCGAGCCTGGCCTAGGGGAAATCTTTCCTTTTGCCCAGTTTCAGCCTCAGCAGATCGCTAAATTGCTTTGGCATGGAGAAATGATGCCATACTGGTGATCAGGACATCGAGCTTCTATAGATAAATTTCAACATAAGTTTTTGGAGTTTCTGGCGTAGGAACAGTTCAATAGTGCCTAGTTCTCTTTATTTTCAATTCCCCTCTTCCCTTTTGGCTTCATCATCTAGAACGCTTTCGTGTCCGGGGAAGGGGGAGTCGTATGGAGACCCTTATTTGAGAGGGGGGGGGGTGGTATTCAGCGGGAAATGGTCAAAACGTGATGGCGTGCCCTGCATATGCCTCGCGCTTCGAAAGCGATGACCTCCCGCTGTTCTTGAACACTTTTCCCGGTGTCTGGAATGTTCTGGCACCGTTTACCGAAATTCACGTCAGTTCCTTGGCTCGAGCGCCTGTCTATGAAATCCTGCTTCCTCAAACGGTTTCTCATAATGCAAAGTTCATCGTTTGCTGCTTCAAGCTTCTATGATGAACAATGAATCCTCTATTGAGTTCGCACGTACGATCCTCCTTGTCACTGAGTAACAAACTCTTCGATAAATTCTTGTCGAAGTCAAGATTGGCTCCTCCTTAGCTTGCTCACCAATTCCAACCCTTGCAAGACTGAGCTTCACAAGTTCGTTATGAAGTTACTGTAGAGGCTCATCGCAATGAGAAGTCGTTATGAACTTCTCATTGCGATGAGCCTCTACAGTTATTTTATGTATTAGAAACCAATTTCATGAAGACTAGCACCCGTGACGCGTGCATCTGTAAAAAAAGTTTGATTACCCGGTCAAACCTTCCAGAAGCTCAATCCACCTATCTAAAAAAGGTTGGGCCCTAATGCCCCTTATTGACAGAGTTCTTCGGTCGCATGATCAAGGCATGTAGAACCGACAAACAAGTCACGTTCGAGACCACCCCACAAAACGGGAATGACCTCACAAGACGGAAATTCTACTTCAATTGCACGACGTTCTCGGAACATATCTGTGTTCAGCTTTCAGAGTTCGAATCATATTCGCCATCTAAGCACCCAGCTTACACAACTTCGAGAAAACTCTCAGCTATGTGATGCTGTTCTGGTCGTCAAGGTAATATCTATGATCCAGTGGGACACAGAACGTGGTCGTCCAGAATGTGTTTCAGGGAGCAAGGATGAAAGCCCACCGGGTAGTGCTTGCTGCATGTTCGAATTACTTCAAAGCCATGTTCACAGCTGACATGGCTGAAAGCTGTTCACCTCGTATGTTTACTATCCGTAATTTCTGTCGCTCTACGTTACGAATCATTGTTGTTTTATATTTTTGTGTCGGGTTGCCGGTATGTATGAATAGTGCAGTTCGCTGCGGACTGTTGGGCGTGTCACTGCGGCTGCGTTTTGGCGGCGGTGCCAAACTCGTTCTCCATCAGTCATTGAAGCGGGCAAGTGACAACGGTGTACTGTACTGTAGTGACAAGTCCTTCA